CAGGGAAACTTCTAAAAATTGAGTTAATGTATTCCAAATTTTGCTTAGCATGTGAGTATTTTTGGCTCCCTACAAAACTATTTTGTTTAAATTCAGGCACCTTCAAGTAAGACTGGAAATTTTGTAGTCACTTATGATTACATAGTGCATATTTCTGTAGCAATTCAGAGATGCAAGCATAAACATTTTTGACACCAGCACAGAAATGTGATGTTTTGTGGTAATGAAAAATGAACAGTAAAAGATTGTACTGGCAGTCCTTCCAATGGAAATAATTGGCATGATGGCATGGCCCACCTGGTATCTGGCCTTAGCAGACTGGGGAAGGACTGGAACAGGCAAAGAGTACAGAGAGGAAACCAGACAGGCACATCCATTACAGCCCCATAACCATGCAATATTAAAAGGAAAGGTCAGTAACACTTTAAAAGTGTTCAGAAAGGTCTATGCTCCAGTAATATCTCTGCATAGCCAGCACAATATAGTTAGCCTCACATAAGCATATATACGTACCTTTCTAAATATGCCACCTCTGCTCTAACTCAATTTAAAAAATCTTACAAGCACAAAGATGCTCTAAAACATATTGGGCTAGGTTAGGGAACAGCAATTGATCAGGACTTTCTCCTTGTTTGTATCACAGGACTCAGCACGGGCAAGGCAGAATGTGTACAATTGCACACAACTTAAACATTCCCCACAGATCTATTTTAAGCACTCATATTTCAATCAATGGTTCAGAAGGAAGCTGCAGTATAAACACATTCCATTCAACCAGATTTGCATATTGATGTCAGTAGTTTGAATCAAACCAATTAGACCATGTAGTTATCTATGGAAAACATATGGCAGACTGATAAAAACCCAGTTCTATGTTTAAAATCTACAGTGTTTCATTAGCATAGCAAAAAAGCAGCTGAAGGAGGATGCTATTCTTCATGGACTAGACAAACTGATACAAGGAGAACTTGGGCTGGGTCCTCAGCTGGTAAAAAACCACTCTGAATACCGTGGTGAATTGAAATGGAGCTAGTCAGTCTGAAAGCAAACACATGCTCATGTAGACACTGAATCAAGCACTGATTTCTCTTTGTTCTCAGTTCCTTATCTCTGAAAGGGGGCTATCCCATTTTCTCATCCATTCTTATTTCAATTAAAGAAAATGTTCTTCAGAAAGTGAACTATCTCTTACTTTGCTTTAAAAAACCCCACAAAATTGCAAAAGGCCCATCTATGTGAGCTACTGCCCTAACATGAATAATGGCAGTGGCACCTCAACCTTTTTATCTCTAAGTTTTCTCTTTCATGATGGCCTAAAAGCTTTTCTTAAATCATGTTTATCTTCAGCAATAAATCATGTTTTCATTGCATTTCTGCCTCATTGAGGTGCAAATAACAGAACAAGACAAATTAAACTGTAAAACGGTGGCTGAGGAAAGAAATAAAAATAAAGAAGGACAGATAAATGAATTAATGTAGGAAAGACAACACTGATTCTAAGCACCATCTTTTATTGGTGCTGCTTCTTGTATTAAAAAGAAAAAAAATCAACTCCTTTGTAAAGGCAGTGATTTAGCTATAAAAATATCTGGTCTGCAAAACATGACTAATCATCTCATCAGCACCCTGCTCATCTCTGTATATTCTCCTGGCAATAACTACATGCTGAGCATTTAAGCCCATCCTAATAATGTGTCCATGGCTCCTAGACTGCTCTTTTACTGAATGAAGCACCCACATGATTTGTTAGGTGACATCATTTACACACAATGGCACTACTGTCTAGCATGAATATCAAGAAAGAAAATTAATACACTATCATCTATTTGAAATTCAGGCTTAGCACTGTATAAAGTAACAATACATGCTAATTTCTACCCCCTCCTACACATTCTTAAGTAAGTAAGTCACATTCTTCAGCAAGTAAGTCAGTTCACTGTAGATAATTTATTCTACAACTACTGAATGATGAAATGCCAGGAGACATGACCATGGATCAGGATAAAAAAGTAATTTTTTTATTATTATTTTCACACACTCCCCATACATATGTATGTATTAAAAAAGAAAGATCCTGGTATCAAAATAATTGACATCCAGACAGCAGTCAGAGTTCAAGGAGAAAGCAAAATGTTGTCCTTTTCTCATTGGTATTCATGTAGCAAATGCTGAGGCAAGAAAATTCTGCTAAATGTTGTCCTGTCTGTGAACCCTGAAATAGCTTCAGTCCCTCGTGAAGATTTTACTAAGTTTATATGAATTACATTCAGAAGCAAGGTTAGTAATAAATATAAGTTTTGGAAGTATTAAAACACTTCAGTTAAATTAAAACCTACCACTTAAATGCTGAAGTTAATTAAGAATCACAGAAATCTCTGCTGATACCCCAGAAAAGAATGTCTCCTTCTGCATATTCAATCAAATAATTTTCCAGACCAGGCTGTTCGAAATCAGAATAAATTTAGAAATAGAATAATTTCTGTTGGAAAAGTCCCTTCAAGAACATTGAGTTCAACCATTAACCAAGCACTGTCAAGTCACTACTAAACCACATCTCAGATGCCACATCCACATGTTATTTCAGTATATCTCCAGAGATGGTGACTCAACCACTTCCCCAGACAGCATAAGCAATGTTTGAGAGTTCTTTCAATGAAGATGTTTTCCCTAATATGCAACCTAAGCCTCCCCTGCCACAGCCTGAGGCCATTTGCTCTCTCTGATGGCTGTGCTTGACTCCTTAACCTAAGCTGGAGTAGTGTGGTAGAGTTTGCAAAGGATGGAAACACCTGAGCTGGGCCAAGAACTCCTCTAGTTCCAGTTTGTTCTCTGGAAACCACAAGGGAGCAGAGTGACCCATTGAGCTGAAAACATAAAGGACTGAAAGTACTGTACACAGAGGAATAAAAATCCTGTAAGGAACTATCCATGTGGCTCAAGTGTAGGTGTCTGCTTAACAGCTTCCCAAAAAACAAACTAGGATGTTTTTTCCAGGTTGTCTCAGCCTCTCGAATCTCAAGCAATTGATGCTCAGCAAGAATAAGTGCTAAATCCTATGCCTCTGAGAAAAAATAAAATAGCAGATTTTATCCCAGGTGCTTGTTGTTACCATAGATTGAGTATTTACACAATTGTTTTGGTTTGGTGCTGGTGTATAGTGTCTATTGAATTTAAAATTCACTTAATATGAATGAACTGAAAGAGCAGAATAAGTTTCCTAACAAGTAATCAGCAGTGATTGAGGATGGGTATATTGGGGTACTGAGAGTGAACCACATCTCTTTTGTTCTATTAAATATCTTTCAAAGTAGCAGAGTGGTAAAGAACAGAACTAAAGAGCTGCAAAATCTGGCTTGGATCAGTGGTTAGGCTGTGACCATTTTAATTTGGCTAGATGGAATGGTATACAGGTGGGAAAAAGGGAAGGCAATCTATGTAATGTAGACTGAATTTGGAAAACAGTAAATCCAGATGTGAGATTTGGAAGTTGAATCTTGATAAATTTGAGTTGGATTAGAAATTTAAGTCACAATAGAAAAAGTTCAAATGGGTTGTGTCTTCAAATTTGCAACTGTCTTCTAGTAAAAGCTGTAAATTGGGCACTTTAAAATCGAGATGGGCTCTATTTGGTATTTGTGCTTTAGTCCTATACAAAGTAATAAGCCTAGTGAAGGAGCAACCAGTGATTCAGACAGGAGTTTTGCCCAGCTAAATGTGTTTTTCTGCAGTGGGTGAAGGACTGCATCCCCCATCTCTGACTACCACTGCAACCTCAGACACACATGGCTTTAAGAAGTTCAAGAGTCTGTCAGAACTCCATCTCATCAAATTATCAAAACCAGTGCTCAGTAATAACACAGATTCCTACTTCATAATCTCTCACATACTTGAAGGCAGCACCTTTGCATCCTTATATTAAAAAGTAAAGCTAGAACTTTATTACTTCCACTGGGGTAGCAAAGAGAAAACAAAATTATATTTAAACATATAAGCAGGCAACAATTCACAAGGAATTATTTTAAATGTGTACCTAGGACAAAGAGAGGCACCAGTCTGTTTTTTTTTTTTTTCTGGAATAAAGTAAATATCTCAAGATCAAATACAATTGTTAATATTAAATCCTTCTTTCATAATTTTTCACCAAGAAAACAAGAAAGCAAAAAGGAAAAAGAAATCCAATAAGTTTTTATTTTTCCACTGCACACTTTATCAAATACACCTTCCTAAAATCTTGTAAACCTCAAAGCAATAGCACGTGTTGACTCTGAGTGTTAGTATATAAAAACTTGCAGCAAAGGTGAATTTATCTGAGACTAATATTTACAAGGCCACGTACTGTCCTTGTTCTCTAGAAGAATTTGATGTCAATAGAAGTTAAATTGAAGGTCACTTATATCTCAAATTGCTGCTGAGGTTATATTTCAGTGATTTATTTCTACATGTTGACCTTTGCTTTCGAAGTCTTATTTTTTCACCATTAACAAAAAAATGTGTGTGTATATATATACACACTCATATCATTCAAGACCATTACTTCAAAATGCAATGTACAAGGTGTTAAGCAACAGAAGTTATTCTTCATTAATGAAAGCTTGAAGGAGGGGGAGAAGGAAACAAACAAAAACCCCTCAACACCTGAAACCATTAAGCAAGTCTCAAATGTGATTGACTTGTATGAAAAAGGCAATGGCTTTAATTTTGTGTTCAGACACAGATAATGAGTAAGGACATTCTCTAAATTTACACAAAAGGTCATAATTTGTCTCAGTTATGGCAAAGTATGTCATACTGAAGCACTCCTTACCTCACATTTCATGGATTCTTGGTCACAGTGCAATTTCACTGCTCAGGGCACACTGTGCAACCATCCAGGCGCCACACTGTCACCAGCCTGTCACCACTGGGACCAAAGCCCCTTCACAGAGGCACCTCCAGTGACCTGACCAGTCCCCACCTGGCTCCCTGCACACCCCACACTCAGCCAGATAAGGTTCCCTTACCAGGTTTCCTCTAGCAGGGTCTCAGATGTCCAGGTTCTTCAATAAATTTAATTCTGGTGCTATCACTTCAGCTTGAGCTGGTGCCCCTGAGGAGGGACTTGGAACTCCTGGGCCTTTATCCTTTCACTGTCCTGGCTCCAGGAGATCTGTGGTGCTCAGCCCCTGGGTGTCCCTTACCTGGCTGAGCCACCCTTGTTAAACAAAGGGCGGCAATTCCCAGCCTCCTTTCTCAGCCCCTCCCAGTGGCTCCCCAGCCACCTGCCCTGAATGGGTTCCTCAAGAACCACGGTGTGTTCTGCAAATGAGAATGTGTTCTGTGTCACCTGTGTCTGTGACACAGGGCTGTCCAGGGCGATGCTTTCAAAGGATCTGAAGCACTCAGCATTTGCTGCAGGTCACACACAGGATTCAGGTTCTTGGAGGCAATTGGGAGGACGAGATTCCCCGTGGTGTGGAATGCTGAGTCTGAGCACTGCTGTATTACAGGCTCTGTTTCATGGAAATACCTTTGGGTATCTGTGGCAGCTTCTGCCTTTAAGTACTTTTTGCACTCTTCTTGCAGGTTCCCTCCCCATCCTCCCTGTAGAGCAGCTGCTGAATGGCAGAATTTATAGATAAGGACTTCAAGTAAAAAAATAATTTAATTCAGATACCCTCCTGTTCTATGCTGTAAGTGATGGCAGCTCAGACATATTTGAGAAGGAATACGATCAAACTCACAAAGGGCTGCCCTCCATAGGACTACAGGAGACAGCAGCTCCCACACCTAGTATCCCACATAGTCCACCTTCAATGCATCAGTAACAGCTTAGTCTCAGCTGTGCTGGGTAAAGCTTATTGTTATTCTTCATTGAAATATCTAGGAGTAGATATAAATAAATGATTTATATACATATATAATATATAAATACATTATTTATCGTATAAATAATATTTAAATATGATTTATAATTGAACTTAGAGTTCTGTAGCCCTTTTCTATTTTGCACATAAGTGCCTCGAGTCTTAGATTTTTTTTTTTTTAATTTGCTCATTAATACTTTTTGGGGTGTTTGATTTGTTTTGTTGTTTTGGGGGTTTTTTTCCCCAGTTTTTGAAAGGCAAGCATATATGAAAAAATTACAAAGTTCAGTCTTATCTTCATGGGCCCATGTGCTCAATACAAATGGGAACACGAGGTGTCCAGGGGCAGTGATCTCTGATGGGGGCCTTGAGATGAGCTATGAAAGCTGAGTCAGCAAGTCCTCCTGCTTCTGCCCTAATTGCATGGAAAGTTCATCAGCAAAGAGCATCAGCATCTGCTGGCTTTGGAGATCATTTTCCCAGAGAGGAGAAAGCAGCAAACTTCTATTAATACTCACAGAAAAAACCAGTAGACTGCTCAAAATGAAAGACACCACCACTTTAGCTCTTGTTCTACCTATAGTTTCAGAAAAGTTAGGAAATCTGCCTGTAACATTCCTATTTACACCAAGCAGAGACAAGGGTATTGTGTTGCCCTATTAACCTGATGAAAATATATCAATCAATGTATTGAAATGTAAACAGACTTGCAATTAGGTTCTTGTTGCATAGTGTGTGCCACAGTTTAAACCATCTGCTGCATTCAAACACCTGTGGCAGAATTTAAAACTGAAACCACCAGCTAATGGTTGTAGGACGTATTTTCCAAGATGTCTGATATCCATGTTGCAACAAGATTAGACAGAGATAAGGCAGAAGTTGTTTTCCCCCAATCATGGGAAAAAACAATTGTAGCAAACATTAGAAAACTTCCTAGAAACATTTTGTTTTTAGCATGAATATACACGTGCATGAATTCCCCCCTGCCCTGGATGAATGTAAGAAAAACAGTGAATGTGTGTTGAGTGTGATACAGAGACAACTAAAAGCCATTGAGTACTCATATCTTAGTTCAGTTTTTAAGCATCTGGGCCTTTAAAACTGGCAGAAACATATATTTTCCATCTTGATGTTTTATTTTGGAGCTGGCAAGAGATGAAAACAGTGAAACAGCTGTGGCTCAAGCTAATGAATATTAATTTTCCAATACAATCACTTGTCCATGCACACATTTATGCTTTTGGTTGCACTGCTTTATGCACTGTTCTAAAATTGCTTGAATAAGACAATGTCTAAAGCAGCATATGCAGACAGAATGAGAATTATCTCCTAAATCCCAGACTGTGAGATACAGGACAGAGACACAGCAAGGAAATCAAAGAAAACCCCTCAACGGGGACCTCTGTTGTGCAGGTATTTGCTAATTGCGCAGCACACTAATGGCACTCCCAGAAGAGCAGGGCTGCTCAGTTCATCCTCCACCAGCTCTGCTGCTCCACAGCCCTGCTCTCCTGACACAGAGCAGCACAGCACAACCAAACACGGCAATTCACAAAACTGTCTGGGGCAAACAGAGTGAGAAAGCAGCTCTACCCAAAAGCCACTTCCTATCCTAAGGTGTCTGAGACTACAAACTGTGAGATCTCACTTGGCATTTTGGGAGAATGCAAATGTATGTGAGCATGTGTGAGAAGAACCAGTTGCAGGCCATGTGCTGGACTTCAAAAATTTACAGTTAGGTTTAACTTTTACACCTACCTACCTCAGATTTAAAGCAATGTATTACAGACTCTTTGAATAACTAAAAGGAACCTGACTGCAAATGTTGACTCTGACTTAAAGGAAATAAGTATATTAAAAAAAAATAGTGCCAACTGACATGCATAAATATCATGTCTAGTGAAAATAAAATACCTTTAAAAGGGAATTTTCTAACAGACTCATAGACATACTTTTTCATTGCTTATTTTAGTTGTGCAGTTTCCCACAACCATTTTAAAATTGGCCAGATCCCCAAAACTAGTAATTTAGAGGCAATTCCTATTTATTTTTAAATCAAATCAATGTAACTGCCCTGTCCTTCACATTTTAATTAGAGAATCCCAGCTGAGGAGCAAGTTTTACATACATAGGAAATATAAATAATTAAGCTATAAGTCAACATTGTATTTGTACGAGGTTTTTATCTTTGCTTGCTTTTATGTTTTCCTCTGTGATAGTCTGTGCTCTCACTGGAGAGGAAAAGCTTTGTGTTTAATGCACTGGCATGAATAAAAATTGAAACATCTGGTGAAAGAACACCTGACTGAGCACACGCATCAAGAGTGAAGTCTTGCCTGAGGAAACTGCTCTGTGCAGAGGGGTTCTCTCCCCACTGCATCCCTATCAAATAGTACTGATAGTGCCAAATTGTTTTGAAATACTTGTGGTAGCTTTGTTGTTTGCCGAATCATTATATGATGGGTCCTCAAAGAACTAAATACAGCTGACATTGTGCTGTTGGGAAAAATTTCCATTTTGCTTCTTGCATTTACCCCCTGAATGCATAGGATGCCAGTGGTCAAAGAGGCAATGTTGTATTCTATCCTATTTAAAAGAGGGGGGAAATCTGGTCTCTGTATCAGTAAGTTCTTGGCATACTTCTTTTTTTTCTCCTGGATTTCTCTTTAAGTTACCCATTTCCCCATTAAGCTGCATTGTTTCCCAGATATATTTATAAAATATATTTATAAAACTGTCTCAACAGTTCATTGAACTCCATGTTAAGCTGCTGTTCTACCTCTTTTCCAATTTATTGATGAAAATATTAACTAATAGAGAAGGCATTTACAGATCATTTGATACCCACTTTGTGGAGCCTGTATGTCAAATTTTCTTAGAGTACATCAGGAGTATGTCCTGGAAAAAAAATTTTTCTGCCTTGGTAACATCAATAGTTGGAGGTTTTCATTTAGTAGAAATATGCCACAGCATATGTTCAGTTTGATCATCACTGCTTTGACCTTATTATTCTTTATCTCATTATTAACTTAAAATGCAGTATCCTTCAGCATATGGTGCACTAGGGCTTGCAGCAGAGAGGGAAAATTCAGGATTATCTCACCTTTATACAGCAGCACATCTGTAATATCTGAAGGCACAGCAATGAATCACATTCTCTTTCAACAGCAGTGCAACGTGGACCTGTCCTCGGTGCATGACAATGGACTTGGATGCAGACATTTCCATCTGGAACCAGCTGCAGGAGTCGTGGCAGGGCCGGGACTCTGTGGGCACTGCTGCAGCTGTGTGGGACACAGCACGGACATTGGGCACTGCTACAGGGACAATGCATCTCTTGTCTTTAACTAATTTTCTGTCTACTGATGACAATAGGAATAAAAGGGGGAAAAAATATCCCTTGAAATAAACAAATACCCCCCAGCCACCCATTCCACTCAGCTCCAAAAATAACACATGCAATGAATAGAGGCATTTGTTCATTAACTTCCTTTTCATCTGGTACAATCTTCTCCCTTTGAAATTGAAATGTGGATGAATTTATCATTGCTAACAGTTTTAAAGAACAGAATAAATAGTAAAAACTATTCTGATGGTTATCCTGATATAAATACAAAGATGATCACTAAGGTGTCACTGATGCCTTTTCACCATTTCATGTTTTGAGAGAAGACCCTCTAGAGCAGAAAGGTAATTCATTTCCAAGCTCTATCAGTCCTCGCTTTCTTCTCGAATTTCCACACAGACAATACACTGTGGTGCTGGTTTTTATGGCATGAATCTCTTCCATTGTAACTATACTGAGAGAACAAACATTTCACACAGGCCATCAATCAGTCTTTAGAGAGCAAAACCTCACAGTTACTGCTTTGCCAGTTTGGCCTGTAAGTAGTGATTTAAGGAAAAGATGTGAAATAACATTACCAGCTCCCTTGGCCAGCCAAACTTTTGTTCAAAACAAGCAGAAAATATTTTGATGAAAAAGCATTGAGCAAGGATTCATCAGAGCTAGTTTTCTCATGTCTGTCAGTTAGCCACACAGTAATTCTTATTTATCTTATCCATTAACAGGAGCAGTCATTCACACATTTCTATCAGCAACAGCACTACAAGATGTAAGTAAACTAAGCCTGACATTTTCCGGAGGATGTGGGGAACAGAAGGCTGTTTACTAGACTTTGGTATTGATAAAGACATATTCCCAATATTCTATTTTAGTCTTATGGGATGCTTCACCATCTGTCG